TCTCCTCCATGGTTCGGATTTGATTATCTTCTCTGTTTTTGATCTACACGAAGCGGCAAGAGCAGAGCAGAAGAAGGATGGTGAGAGTGGCGACGTACTTCGGGATGTCATTGGGCGCCTTTATTTTCTGGCAATCTATGGACAAAGTCCACGTCTGGATCGCCCTTCATCAGGACGAAAAGGTTCCTCCTTTCCTCCATTTCAACCTCTATCCTACTTTTTGAATCTGATACAGCTTCTGAAACCGGCCATTGGGATGTGATTCCCACTTCAATTCCGATATTAATTTTGTGATTTCTTCTCGTTTCCAGAAAATGTATGATTTCAAACCCTAGAATTTGTTTACTTTTGCAGAAGGAAAGAATGGAGAAGGAAGCGGAGATTAAGAGAGTCAGGGAAGAGCTGCTCAGACAAGCGAGAGAGAAGGATTCACTTGCCTAATCTTTCATGTCTTGGTTGCGGGTGCCTTCTCTTTTGAACTTACTATTGTTTGGTGTTTTAGCTTTTCCCCTGAATTGTTGACGAAAACATGAAATAAAATTGTTTCGAGCTGATAACAAACAATGTCTTGGACAAATTGTTGTTTCCTTCTGTTTTATGAAATGCAATTTAGCATCTTTTGGAAGCTGATGGAATTTGTTGTTAATTTTGTTTGTATCTTGTGCATGCATCTCTATTGACATTGAGTTTGTTTTGTCTGATCAAGACAATAGTTTAGCTGCCAAGATCAGGGCAATGGTCTGGTATCCGTAATCAACCTGAATCTGCCCTTGGTAATCAAGGAACGGCATTATGTTGAATGCAGTTCTAGGTGAATTTTTTCTAGGATTTAATTGATTGCTTCTGCTGTTCAAACAGAAAGATGAGTTTTTGATTGCTAGCTTCTTTTTTGCATTAGGCAATATAATTCAAGGAAAGATTAAAATGGGAATAATACATTGTATGCTAGACGTTATTTATGCAACTGCATTCTTTCTCTGCATAAGATGATATGCAAGTTCTTACTCTTACTAAGGTGTTCCAATTGCCTAGCTGTAGTATTCTGTCCTCTAGCAAGTGGGGAGAAGAAATATTTGTGTTGTTCTGGACATTGTAATTAAACCCAATACATATATTTGTTTATGCATGCAAAAAAGGATTGACCAAATGCAAATAAGTCTTGGTAGACGTTAGCAGTTTTTGGTCTATGTGCCTTCCTTCTAAAGACAATGGAGGGCTTAATTTTCTTAATGCTGTCACATCTCACATGTTCATGTTAGGTTGTTGGTAGCTCATTGTAAGGCATGGAGAAATGAAACTTCAATAATTTGTTTGTGTTGATAATGTCATCCATAATGCACCATCCGCTGTGAACCTCATGTCATGATGAGTAATCATCATACTCTCTGCATGACAAATTAATGCAGCTTTTAGCCAATTCATCATTGTTGTGGGTGTTGTTTATGTTGTATGGGGTGAGGGGAACTTAAAAGGTCATTCTGTAACTACTTGCATTACCAGTCAGCCATTGCGTTGCAGAATTGACCCCAAAAATGCAAATTATTGAAGGTGAGAGTGCCAAAGGAAACTAGAAAAGTGGATGAGTTAAGCATGCCAACATGACTAAAAATAGCATGTCCATGCCATGCTCTCTAACTTGCAGTACTCATTTGACCTGTTTTGAGCTCTTAGAACAGATCATGCTAGGGACAACCAGCCTTCTTGTTGCAGTTTCTCTTCTTGTGCTTATTTTACTTGTTTGGAATACATATTTGAATTCAAACAGCTTCCTTCTGATCCATCTCGTACTCCACTTCCAGCAATCTGTTCATCCCTGAACTTGTATTTTCGGGTGACAAGACCAAGACGCTTCCTTACTCAGTTGATGGCTAAATTACTTTCTCGAATTTCATGTTGAAGTGCTACTAGGGCTCAAGTAGCTCCATGATATGATTCCAGCTGAAATTTGGTTCACAGGATGGTAACGTCTGAAAATGAAGATTGTGCCCTTTCCCCTTATTCCTGTTTTAGAAGACATGGAGGTCTGCTGTATGGTATAATAGCCAGGAAAGTTTATGTAGGAGGCTCTGGTTTTGGGGGTGACTGAGAGCATCTGGGACGACTTGTAGACTTGAACGAGAGGAAGAGCTACCACACAATTGATTTGAGTAGAATGCTTCTTTTGAATTGATCATAAGATAGTTGGACTGGAAACCCACGAACCTCACATAAACCCGTTAACAATGAGCCTGTGAACCACATCGCAAACGGGTAGAGTGAATCAGCTATTTAAAGAAAAAAAAAAAAGCAGTAAAATATTTTAATCAATTAAACCCAGCATATCCTAAATCATAATTTTAGAAAGGATCGGGGTTAATGTCACAAGCCAAAATTTTAATGGTACACACTTAGCCAATATATTAACACATTTAAAATTGAAATTTGAGTTAGGCTTGAATTTTCGTGGGATAATTTTAAAGGGGCTTATAGTTATTTTCGCAACCCACAACTTGTTCGTTCTACACCAAAAAAAAAAAAAAAAAAAGTTTTATAACTATGGGTTTTTTAACTTGTGCCTTTAAGCACAAGTTAAAAATATATTTTTAGTATTAATTGTTATTAAAAATATAAAATTAAATGTTTATTTAATTAATTATCTAATTAAAACAATATATATAATATTAATGATAAATTTAATATAAAATTTTATTATTTTTATATTAATTAATATAAAATAAATATTAATTACATTTTTAACTTTTATTCTTAAAACACAAATTAAATAAATCCTATAACCATTAACCATTGCTAATAACTAAATCATTATAGAATTTAGAGAGGAAAATCTACCCTTTGATTTTACTACCATTAAATTTATTTGAATTTGGATAAAAGTAATGGGATACGTTCAAGTGGCCAACCGTGTGGCCTTGATCAGCACAACCTCCGCACGCATACTGCCGGTACCACTTCCACTTTCTCATCTGCCCCTCCATATCCATATCTTTGACTTCTCACCACCGCTCTTTTTCACTTCCCGCTCAAAATGCTTATATTAAGTACGACTACTAGTGATAATGAAAATGGAGCAACGACTTGACACTTCACCGACTTGACCCTTTCTCATCAACACAGTACTAATATGGCTGCACAACAAATAATGGCCAAGCTGGGACATTGTATCGATCATGATTTTGTTATCTTCGACTGTATCCCACATGCTGTTAAACTGTTTTGTGTTGCGAATATTATGGGAATTGTTTTTCCCCGACTGTGTTGATGGTTCTTCACTGGTTTAATGCAATCGTCTTTATTTACCAAAAAATTAAGTGAAGATGGTGTTTGTATCTGGACTTTTAAAAAAAAAAAAAAAATTACAGTTGTAGATCCTAATTTAATTTTGTTAGCAAGAATGCTGAAATACTACACACTAAATTGTAAAGAGCTTGAGAAAAAATTGAGAGACAGCTGCGGAGTCTTTATAAATAAAGGGCTCTCTGTTTTTTCATGTTGATCCTCTCCCTATCTACCCGTTTTTGTTATATAATTTAATGTATTTTGATCTATATAATAATTATTTTATAAATAAAATGGCTTCATATTAAAAAAAATATTGTTTAATTAACTTCATCTCTAAAGGGAGACAACTGTGGTCTACTCTAGAATTTTTTTTTTCCGAATAAGGTAAAATTTTTTAATAAAATTATTATACATTACAACTATATATAAAGAAATAAAAAAAATGATCTTTATATTCGAGTCCAAAAATTAAATTAAATTATCATACCATTAAATTTTTATCATTTAGCCGTAAATGCCATTGGCGAGGTCTACTGCTAAGTTTGAATTTTTGAGTTTGAGTAACAATAAAGAAGATAAAAATTTAAAATAAAAATATAAGATTAAT